ACTACATAAAATTTCCCATCTTAACCATTTTTAAGCTCAGTAGTGCTAAGTACATTCACATTGTTGTGATCAATGCCAGTTTGAAATTCAAATATAAGAGTATTTAGCTCATTCATAATTCGTAGCAGCTCATATATCCGTATGTGTTGCATTGTCAGTAGAGTAGTGAAAACTATACAGAATTAGCTCTACTGTTTTTATTTCATCTCTTGATAGTTGCAGTTTCTACCAACATTCTCTACTTTTGTCTTTCCAATGAGTAAGGACTCAAAAGAGAAGGAACTTGGTGTAGTCCTATCTTTCCCTTTGCTTCTATTCCATCCTTTACATTGTGTTGGACTATTTATGAGAATTGACATGAATAAAAAAGAGTATGGTGACAGATGATTTGGCTGGGTGGTGGGCATACAATGCAATACACACATTTTGCGATGTAGAAACCCACACCTGAAATATGGGCTCCTTGGTCATTCCTATTTCTTGGAACGCCATTGCCTTCTTTCTGCTTTCAAAGCTAGTTCTGGTTAGAATGGAAAGAGTGGCCTCTGGGGCTGTCAGCAGCTCCGCTGCACCCGCACATGAAGTGGGCCCTCCTGAACCCTGTGCTGTGGGCATCAAGGCTGGAAAATGCTAATGGAGGACTAGGAGCAGGGTGCGCAGGGACAGTGCCAGGACCTCCTCTCCTCACACCACCTCCATTGTCCTGTCAGACATCATTGACTCCTAGATAAATTAGACTTCAAGACGGCAACAGCAGAGGCCTCTGTACATGGGTGCCTATGTGACTGACTGCCCAGGTCGCATCTGTGAAGCTGGCCTTGCTCATGGGAGATACTTTGCACAGCATTGCAGGAAGGGAAGATACTGGAGACCACACGACTTTGGGGAGCCCCTTCAGTCTCACCACTTTACAGACTGCTCCCACCCTCTTTCGTCTCCCTGGTATCCCAGAACTAATGCAGCAAGAGGTGCAGTTGGCTTTGCTTTATCCGTCAGAATACATTTAACTAATTCAAACTGTTTTGTGAACCAAATAACTATAATTTTATCAAATGTATAAAACAGTTACATAATGAATATTTTATTGAATATGTGCTGGGAGGGGCAAAGAATATTCACAGCTGTGACCTAAGAAGAAGCTATCGTCAGCCCATTTTACAGCTGATGAGATTGAGGCCCCAAATAGGTAGGGTGGATTTTGGCGTTCCTCAGCCACATTACAGGCCCCCAGGTTCTGATTTCAGAGCTTTGTCAATCATTCCCTGATCAGAGGGCTAAAGGAAACTCCATTTCTGTCAAGAGTCATCAGTCCTCTCTGAAGTAGTTCATGTTTGAGCATAAAACTGTATGGGTAAAATGCACACTAGGAGGTGCAAGGTGCCATTCAAGTGGAGGAAAGTACTCATTATTTTGAAGGTTGCAAATGGATTTCAAAAGTGGGACTGTCCCTTTTGCTTACTTCTGGAAATGAAAGTGCACAATTCTCTAAACATATTTTTTCAAAAGCTATCAGAAACCTCATATTTTTTAAAAAGCAGTGTGTCACTCCCCATCATCTCTGTAGTTCCCCTGTGGTTTAACATTTTAATCAGCTGTTTTGTGCTTTAAAGATTTTTCATTTGATTTACAACTTGTAGGAGTGGAGTTGCAGTGAGTAATCAGGGAGAATGCCACACAGAGGACACAGGAAGGTGAAATGCAGTGTTAATAATTTAGTTTCAATAACCTTAAAAGGTTTACTGTTCAGTTTTAACCTTGTATCATCCCCAAAAGCAAGCTACTGCAGTGAATCATAAAAATGTTTCTTTTAATTTGCAAGTGATTTCTTTAAGTCTGCTTGTGGGGCCTGATGTGTCCCTTCACATAGAGGTCGGCAGCACTGGCTTCCATTTTGCCTCTTTGAGGTTGCTCTGCCTTTGATGGGAAAGATCTTAAGGTTTAAATGTTGTAGAGGCTTGTTTTCAAAATTTATGGATTATTATGGTGTCAAATTATTAATTTAATAATGTTTTAGTTCTGAGCAAATCAGAAAAAACTTATGCTGGCATAGAGGCAAGGAGAACATAGAGGTGATTTTTGGTGGGGACAAGACTTACAGGTGATATTTAAAACCTAATGTCAAAACTAGGGGGCATGCTGGGGCCATGCTTGGTGAGGAACTTTAAAACACTTGCAAAGTGGAATTTTAACATCTCAGAAGGATGGCTAAATTAACAGAGAGGTTTATCACCCAGATTTCATTACCAACCCTATTAAAACAATCCCTGTTGAGCATTATACTACACCATTGCATAGAAAATCACCAGGTGCATAAAGGCTTTGTTTCATGATTGGCAGGTGAGTGGGGGCTGGGGGGTACATATTCCAGCTAAGGTGAAAGTGGTAATGGAACATTTCTTTGGGAATTTTCCTTGTCTTTAATTAAGAATATGTACCATAATAAATGGAACCAGTTTTTTCTAGAATTTTTATTTTATTTCTGGTATTGGGATTTGTCAGTGTAGTAAGTCCTTGCTTAATGTTGTCAATGGGTTCTGTGACTCAAAGCAAAACAACATACATATAAGGAAGCCAGTTTTACTGCAAGCTAATTGATAGAAATAAAAGTGAAGTTCCTAGGGCATCTCATCAGTGTTGATCTGAGTGGTGTTATTCGAGGACCTGCTGTATTTGCTGCTCAATTTCTCAGGAAGTATTGAGCAACACTTCCTCCTGCTGGGCCCTTCCCGCAGCTGGGAGGGAATAATCTTGAAAAGCAAGAGAGGCGATGGTTATCTAGAAATCCAGAAGGAAGGTTACTTGATCTCATTTTTATTTTAATGATTTAAATTGGCAGACCCAATTGAGGAGGGGAACTCATAATTCCTAAGGCATCAATGGATTTTGATTTTTAAGGTGAACATTGAAAATGGACTCTTCTCCTTCTCCTGGCCTGTGAATACCAGAGTACTGCTGGCCCATGCCCGCAGTTTCCTCCCGCAGTGATCTGAACTGCTTACTCAGTGTTAGTGGGTGGACTCGGGAGTGCACACTCTGACAACCTGAGCTGGACTGAGAATGGGGTGGCAGCCACAGCTTCACCCTGGGTTCCCTGGGCCAGTTCTGTTCTTTCACCTTCTGAATGGGATGCACCTGTAGTCAGAACCGCCAGTAGCCAATATAGCACTTTTTCACCAGTTAGAAAAGGCACCCCTTTCTCCAGTCTCATTGTTTTCTCTCTCTGTGGCATTTTAGTAACATGGGACACTTATTGTCACTTGCCATAAAATTGTCATCACAATTACAGTTTGACATTGTTGCAGTGGTGCCCACGTAGTCATGGCCCATGTATGCACTGTGCAGCCTGGGCAGCTGTGCGAGGAAAACCCGAGGGATTGTGAGAAAGGCTTCAGGATCAGTCAAGACTCTGCCACTCACCAGTCACATGGCCTTGAGCAAACTGTCCGAACTCTGACACTGTTTCCTTGTCTGTTAGGAATAAGAACAGAACTTCCCTGTCAGGTGTGTACAGTGCCACACACACAGAGTGATATTAGTTTCTGTCTTTTCTGTCATTTTCAACATACTTCATCAACTTTGTCATGCTTGTATTCCTGAGTGGATAAAGAATCACCTCATGTTGTGATGGTCTCCATTGAAAATGACCATTTCTTTTTTATATTTTTTCTATTGATATCTCTAATATAAGGGGTTTTTGTTGTTATTCTGAGTTCTTCCTGTAAGAAAATTTGTCATTGTTAATCCTAGCTTGCCACCATATTCTTTTAAGATTAATAAAAGTGATGTTAAACATGTGAAATTTTGATAAATATCCATCTTAAAATATTGAAATTCAGGCAAAACTCTTTAGTATTAGTGTCCATGATTTAACAGTCATTCTATCACCAGTGGGCTAGGATGTGTTCAGGGAAGGCATAGCCTTGTGTGTTAGCGTAAGCTCCGAATGAGGCATCTGAGGACTATGATTTGGGAAATAGCTTGTTCACAGGTCCCCTCTGTTTTCTGTCTTCCGCTCGCACACTGCAGGCCCTCAGTGCAGTGCTGTTGAGTCAAAGTAGGTCCCTAACAGTCGTTTCTTGGTGCTCTTGCCACTGGGCACCAGCACTGACTCCAGTTCTTCCAGCTGGGCTCTTAGGTCTTTTGGTTGGAAATTTCTTGGATGCTTTGGTTCTTCTGTGAGCTTCCTTTTTTGCCTATATTTGGCACATTTTTCTCGCTCTCTTGCCTTAGAAAATGCTGGGCTAGTTTCAGTTAAGTGGAGGAGATCTAATTTAATTTCCAAAAGCAGACGTGATCTTAAAATACCCTTATGTTCTGTCATTCTCGTGCCACTGATTACAGAACAAATCCATTTTTGCCCCTCCCCTTCCTCTGTGTCCTTCTGCATCCTACTCCTCCATGCCTTCCTCCCTCCATGTCCTCCAGGCCCTCTGCCTTCATCTGCCTCCTCTGCCCTCTCCACCCATAAGGTGGGATCAAATCACTTGTTACACCTCTGTTAAATGTCCTTTTAAGAATGAATGATAATGAATTGTCCTTTCCAAAGGCTTACAAATGTATGGAGACTTTTACAAATGGAGAAGGATCTATGCCCTTCCTTTTTCATAATTAAAGGACAACTAGCATTAGTACTGTGGGTGGTATTAGGTCCTATCCTCCAAGTAAGGACAGTATCTGGTTCTGTCTTCCTGGAGAGAAGTAAGCAAGGGCTCAGGGACAGGCTGGCAGTGAGGCAACTTACCCCGCCTGAAGGTGATGTCTCAGGCAGCACCAGAATTCATGGATTTTAGTCTCTAATCTTCCGTGCTAAAAATAGTTACCTTTCCTTCAGCCCACCAATTCATATCACCCACACTGGTCTGAGGAAGAAGAATGATGTCTTGATGGGTACTCATTTAAGGTATCACAAATAAAGAAGCCATTTGTTCAAAATATAGTTAAACAAGAATCAAATATATTTGAAATGAATAGTTTCTTTTCTTTTCTTTATTTTTTTTCAGAAGGATGCCATTGCATGGGGGTGGCTATTCCCCATTTAAAGATAACAGTGCTCAGAACATGTGTATCAAAACAATTTCTTCTAAAGTGTAAGTGGCTGTAGTGTTAATCTCTATGACCATAGTCAAGGAAATCACCATTGTAGTTTTCACATATGAGGGAAGTTAAACAGGCCTTGTTTACATTACTGCCATTTATAAAACATTTAAACAGCTCTTCTGCTGAATAAACATTCAAAAGTCTGAAGGATAAGCATACCACTCAAACTTCTTAAGATTAAACTTCCCAAACTATTTCCTGCCGGGGGACACAACAGCAAAATTGCAAACTGTGTTCCCGAGATGAGATAGGCCGAATTAGATTAAGCAGCTTCCTGTTGACTTGTCTATTGATCCGGGTTCAGTGCAGCTTCCTGTCTGTGCCAGCAGTCGGGTTGCTGTGTGCAATAACAGTGGCCTGGTTTATGTGGAGGGACTCCAGCATCAATTACTCCAGGAAGGCAGTGGCACTGGGAGATAAGGCTAAGCTGCTCACAGTGTTTAAAACTACTAAAATCCAACCAACATATTTGCTGTCTAAAATGTTGCTTATAAATTTGACAGTGTTCCATTTATAACATTTCCAAAGAGATCATCCACTATTACTCTCTGCAAGCAGAAATACAAATAACATTATGAATGCTTATTGTTAAAACAGTATAACCCACTTCCTCACTTTCATGCCTCTTTCTTAAGTATTTGCGTAAAGATACTGAACTGGGTGGCAGGACATCATGAATGTTGCAGAGCCACCTTAGACTAAATAATGTCAGCCATTTGATTTGGATATTTTGATTTCTTTTCTTCTGAGACCAATTGAATAGATTCAGTCAACTGCCATCTTTGTTGTGCTAATACCCACTCATATGTTCTTAGAGAGCACTATTTTACTAAATGCAAAATACTACATCTTTAATGCAAAAACCATGGTTAATACAGGAAAGCACAATGAGAAAAATGTCACCACCCAATGATAATTATTATGTGTTTTTGGAAACAGGTATTTCAGGTATTATTTTAAATATGTATCTCTCCACCACCCCTGTATACACACATGTGTACATTCTTATTCTTTACTAAACACTCATTTAATTGTGAATATAACTTGTTTATTTATTTTTGGTTAAAGAAAATATGCTTTTCCTTAGACAGTTTTTACTATTTACCTTGCTTCACACTTGACAGAAAGGATGGAAGTTGAGCCTGTATTGATATACTTCTGTAGAGACTATCAGAAAGGCAGTATTATAATCCATGGAGTTGGAACTCCTAAAAAATTCTTGGTGCGTCCACTATTTTAGGTCTGTTCACACAAGTTGTTAAGTTTCATGCTTAAAATGTAACTCCTTTTATTCCTATAAAAAATGTTCACAGAGTAAATTCCATGTTTTCTGATGAGACAAATGTGCTATGGATAAAAGGATAAATTTTTTGAAAGTGACATTTCAGCTTGTCTATCATGACATTTTATGTATTTTTCAATACACATTTATCTTAGAGATATATTCCTTTAGTGCAGGTAGAAACAGAGCTTCATATAAAACTTAGAAAATCCCTTAAATATAGTACTGATGGAAACCAGACCTGGAAATTTGGCAAGTCTGAGCACATTTTATTCATTTAATCATATTTTCCAGATTATCCTGCTGAGATTGATACCATCCTCAATAAGGCTTTGCAACATTCACACTATTCTATTTCCTAAAAGTGATGCAAAATGAATGTATTCAAAGTGTATTTAGCATTTATTGGCATAGTTTTAGGTTTTATCTTTTAATGAGATTTTAATTGATTTTTTTTGAAGAATTTATACCAGGTGCCTGGAACGCAAATAGACAAGAGAGACCTAATAAGTAAAATGGGCCATTACAATTAATGCTAATATGACATCTGTTAGCAAAGCTAGCATGTTAACTTCCTGACTAGGTCTGATTCTAAAGGAAACAAGACCTGATCATTTTAAGCTTTTCAAGTGGTCTACTCTCTGAAGTGCTGAAAACTCATTTCATAGTCTTCCTTTACTAAAAAGGCCTGACTTTGTAAAGTTTTTTAATATTTATTCTTTACTTTTTATTGAATTTATTGGGGTGACACTGGTTAATAAAATTATATGGGTTTCAGGTATACAATTCTATAATACATCATCTGTATATTGTATTGTGTGTTCACCACCCCAAGGCAAGTCTCCTTCTATCACCATTTATTCCCCCTATACCCTCTTCTACCTTCCCCCATCCCCTTTTCCCTCTAGTAAAGTTTTTGTCTTCAAATTGTCACTTTCTGATGTTAGACTTCTCCTGAGAAAGAGTTGTTAAAGTCCCCTTTCTATATGATACTTTCAGGCATTCCTTATATGACAAGTTCAATATAAACAACCATGCTTTCCCCTATTTACATAGAAGTGGTGGCAACCAGAAGAAAGGGCCAATGGGAGACCCATGGCTGTTCTTCTCTCCTCTGTGCACAGAACAGTCACAGAACAGTGCTAGAAACTGTAAGGCCTTTGAGGTCTGTTTACCTTGTCATTGATGATGTGAAAGGAAGAAGTACTGAATTCTTTCATAAGAATTGCATGTATAGCCAGATTAATAATGACAGTGACTTCAGGACAGTTCTCTGAAACCACAAACATCCACCTGCTCCCAATATGTGGACCCTGAAGAGCTATAAATTAAGGTACTCTACTTAATCAAAAGAGTCCACATATAAAAATTAGCATGAAAAGTTACCCTGTAAAAAAAATCAGAATAGTTGAAAAATGTGTAACAGAATAAAAGTCAGGTGTTTGTTTTTGTTTTTTTTTTTGGTTTTTGTTTTGTCATCAAATGAAATAGTTATAAAATGGAAGCAGCATTGGCTGCCTCACCTGCCATCCTCTGAGTTGCCTGGGCGCTTGTTTGCCCCTCATCCCTGTTACTTAGTAACATTGGATCTCTGCTACCAGATGGTAAACATTTTGAGGGCCTCTCTCTTTACATCCCCCACACAACTGAATGGCATAGAAAGCCATACACTTACAATCCTCAGTAAACTTGTGACTGAATCAAGTTAGGCCAATAGGTTTCCTAGGACTGAGGGAGATGTAGGGAGTGAGGATGAAATAAAGGTTGGCTTCATTGGAGAGAAGACTCAAGGAGTTTGTGAAGACCTGAGGTAGTATGAACAACAAAGAAAAGCCAGTGAAGTTTGAAGTTCATTAAGATGATTTTAAGAGTGGAATAGGATAAGAAAGATGTTGAAGATTAAGGAGCTTTCAAGAAGCATGTCTTGATTATTCTTATGAGCCTGAAGGTTGGTGGAAGTGTTGATGAAGTTAAAACATCTCTTTCCTGGCCCTGGCTGGGTGGCTCAGTTGCTTAAAGTATGTCCTGTATACCAAACCTATGTTGGGGGTTCGATTCCTAGTCGGGGTGCATATGGGAGGCAACATAACTCTTATATCTCTCTCTCTGTTTTTTTTTCTCTCTCTCAAAAATCAATAAAAACATCCTCAGGTGAGTATTTTTTTAAAATCTTTTCTGGACTCTTGCAAGAGCTTCCTAGCTGTTTGTTTGTTTTTTTGTGGGGTTTTTTTGTTGCTTTTTTTGTCACAGCTTTCTCCTTTTTCCAATCCATTCTCAATAGGACGGTTTCAAATGAGGTCACACTCCTGATTTATTAACATCATTTCTTAATACACACCCCCCTCCCATTAGCTAAATGGTTATATCCAGGCATCTTACAATCTTACAATGAACTGGGATCCATCCATTATCCTCTCATCCCACTGCTGCAACCTAACTCCTAGTCCCCCCGCAGCATCATCTTGCACCCCATCCAAAGTCTCCCATCAACCTTCCCATCATTCTGTACCCCATGAGAGGCTAAAAGACTAACAAAACATGTTTTGGTCTTGTCTCCTTATATTTGTAATATTTTATGGTTACACATTGGAAGTTATTTCCCTAAGAGATGCCCTTTTCTGAATATCTCTTTCAGTAGCTGTCAAAGCCTATTATATTAGAGTACTAGAGGCCTGGTGCACAAAAGTTTGTGCACTTGGGGGGGAGGAGGGTCCCTCAGCCCGGCCTGTGCCCTCTCTCAGTCTGGGACCCCTCAGGGGATGACCACCTGCTGGCTTAGGCCCGCTCCCCGGGGGATTGGGCCTAAGATGGCAATCAGACATTCCTCTGGCAGCCCGGCAGCCCTCGGGGGATGTCCACTTTGCCAGCGGGGAGCAGGCCTAAACTGTAGTCAGACATCCTTAGCGCTGCTGAGGAGGCAGGAGAGGCTCCCACCACCACCGCTGTGCTGGCAGCCATCAGCCTGGCTTGTGGCTGAGCAGAGCTCCTCCCATGTGAGAGCGCCCTGACCACTAGAGGGCAGCTCCTGCATTGAGCGTCTGCTCCCTGGTGGTCAGTGTGTGTCATAGTGACCAGTCATTCCCAGTCCTTCTGCTGTTAGGGTCAGTTTGCATATTACCCTTTTACTATATAGGATAGAGGCCTAGTGCACGGGTGGGGGCCGGCTGGTTTGCCCTGAAGGGTGTCCCGGATCAGGGTGGGGGTCCCGCTTGGGTGCCTGGCCAGCCTGGATGAGGGGATGATGGCTGTTTGCAGCTGGTCGCACCCCCTTCAGGGTGAGGGTCCCCACTAGGGTGCCTGGCCTGTCTGGGTGAGGGGCTGAGGGCCGTTTTCAGGCTGGTGGGCGACTGAAGCTCCCAACCTCTCCTTTTTTTCTTTTTTCTTTTTTATTCTGGGATTTATTTACCTTCTATGGCTGTCACTGGAGCTGAGAGCCAGCTTTAGCTCTGAGGCTTGGCTCCAGCTCTGAGACCTCGGCTGCTGAAAGCAGGTATCTGGGTTTGTTTGGCTTCTATAATTGAAACACTGTTGCAACTCCAGCTCTGAGGCCCGGCTGGCTGAAAGCAGGTTTCTGGGGTTTGTTTAGCTTCTATAATTGCAACATTGTTTCTTAGAGTGCAGCTCAGAGGCCGGCACTGGCAGGTGGGGAACCTTGGCTTCCTCCATCACTGGAGCAAGCAAGCCTCCTGTTTGTTTCAGCTGCCTGGC